TTTTTTTTAAATATAAGGGTCTATATAAAAAAATTCTAATGGTTTAAATTTTATTGGGATTGCGCTTAAGTGACGAATTGGAAATTCTATCTCCGTAAAGGGGCTCTGCTTCTCCCGCTAATCGCATAAGGCGAGGGAGCAAGTATGCATTTGTCATAGAATAAATCCACAATCTCAGTAATGCAATATGCCTTGGCATTTCGAGAATTCTCTCATGATAAATAATGCTTAATAAAATAAATAGGCCCTTATTGTTTGACGAAAACCTTTTTGGAAATCCATTTTTTCGAGCTTTTAAACTCTTTTTGATTTTAAAATAATCCTTAGAAATATGATTATCCCAATGAAAATTTAGATTTTAGTTTGATTTAATTGGGTAAGAAAACTGGTTTGACAAAGTATTTTCAAATTTCTAGCAATATGGGTGAGAATCTATAAATTTATTTGTTCACATAAAAACGTTGATGACCATCTTATCCTTCCTTTCCTTCAAGTTGTGTAACTTAAACTTTTCTTCTGTGATTACTAATTTGTTTTCATACTTAACTTATTCAATTTGTTGCTTGAGGGCAAGCAACGTTTAAGTGTGAAGAATTTGATAAGTTCATTTTGTTCTTATTTTATTCTACATATTTTAAGCGTTATTGCACGAAAATAGTAATAAATTTACCCATTGAAAGTGTCTACTAGTGACAAAACTGATGTTTTGTCTTAAGAAGAATAAAATACAAGTTCTAAATTAAATTAAGTGGATTTGTCAATTTTATGTACAAATTGGATAAAAAGTTTCAGATTTTAAAGATCATAACACTTTGGAGGTAGAAATCAGTGTCTGGGAGCCAATTGGGCCGATGCGGAACAACTTTGGGCCCAAAATCACGAGAAACCGCAATTGGAAGCAAATTGGGCGCTGGATTTGGGTCCTGGGCGTCCAAAGTTGGACGCCCGAAGAGGCTGGACGCCCAAGCTATCTGGTGACACGGCCTTGCCACGCGGCACAACGCGACTGGACGGAACACGTATTTTGGGTACGGGCATCCAAAGTTGGACGCCCAGGGAGTTGGACGCCCGTACTTCCTGCCCTATAAATACAGCGTTCCTCTCATTCATTCCACACCATCTCACAACCCATTTCGGGTTTCTCCACTATTTTAGTCAATATTTCATTATATATTAGTTTAGTTATTATTTCTAAGTATTTTTGGAGGAATTCTACTCCCGATCAGTTCTGTTCCGCTTTTACGGAAGTTGTAAGTATTCTTTATTTAATAAAATGCTATTTTAATTTATGTTTGCATAGTATGAGTTAGGGTCCGGATCTCTGGGTCCGGACTAGTTTGGTTGTTTATTTTTTATGTTAAATTGATGTTGGAATGGTTAGTCAATTGCTCTTGCCTTATTTAGTTAATTAATGTCGAAAGATTTAATTAGCTATTTATTGAGAAAATATTGTATGCCAAAAGGCTATAATAGTCAAGAACAACGGATTAAGTACAAATCTAGAAATGGATGAGTAGTAATAGAAATATTATTATTCCAATTGTTAATTTAATATGATAAAATAGATCCAAATGATGTCCTGGCCCTAGGTCCAGATCTATACTTATACTATGTAAAATTTATTCATTATTTTTACTCTGCTTTATCTTTAATCGTCTTGAGAAGACTTTCATAAACCAATCCTAATCTTCGCCTAATTAGAGTAATTAAACTAATTCCCTTCGTCCACTCCTCGAGAGATACGACACTCGGAGAGAAAACTAACCCTTTATTGGGGAGGTTTACTACCCGAAAAACTACAACTGTCAGTTGCCTCCCAAGAAGCGCTTCTTTAACGTCACTAGTTTGACGTTAGCCCGTTTTTTACGGGTCTTACCGATCCGAGAGTCATAAAGTTTGACCTTTTTGACTCTCTTCTGATGCCACCTTTGTTCTGTTCTTTTCCAGTCAAAGTCCAGGATCTTTGACTCATTCTTGCGGCTTGGTGGCAACAAGAAAAATGGAGGAGACTCGTCTTGGATGGATGGTGGTGTGAGTCTCCTTGGTTTATCCACATCATTGGCCTTTAATGCCAGGATCTGACTTTCCAAGTCCCCAATGGGCTGACTTTCTATTTGTGGTTCGATGATTACGACATCACCTTCCCCTGAGTCTTCAGTGTCTCTCATCAAAAGTTCGTCCGAGCTTATTTGACTATAACTTACCTTCGGGTAAGAATGGTTGTACCTGTCAAGTAGGGAGTCAAAGAAGGCTTCGTCTGAATCCTCCGGTGAGACTTCAATATTAAGAACTCCTATAGATGGAATGGACTCAGCATCACAGGGTAGTTCCTCGTCTATAGGTTGTTCAGACTCATCAGTATCAAGGGGGTTGGTGGTGGGCTCAGATTTCTCCAGAACAGGTTCCTCTGGAGAAGTGTCTTCAACACATGTTAGGAGGACAGGTTCCTCCAACGTTTCTGGTGCAGCTGGTGAAGGCGGTTCCGAGACAGGACCCTCGGTAGGCTTCACATCTTGTACGATTAAACTTCGTGGGCTTTCAGGAAGCATCACCACTGTACCTCGTGCAATCATTTCTGCAAGTGTTATCTTGTTTTCGATATACAGTGGTGATGGAGTTTGTGGGTATTCAAGAATTGAGACATTGTTGGATTCAGTTTCAGATTCTGTCTCAGATTCTTCATCCTCTTCTAGAACAACAATTTCCTCCATCTCTTCTTGTTGTTCCATAGCCTTCTTAAAGTCCTCCAACATCTTTTGCATATGCTCCCAATATTCGCGTTGTTCGTTATCTTTCTGGGTTTGGAGCAGTTGGCGTTCTTCTTTGACTATTTTGAGAAATCGTTCTCTCGCCTGGATTGCATCTCTATTTGCTTCGATTTGCTCTTCACGAGTCAGAGAGTAATCACGGCAATAGGGTGGTTCAAATAATGAACACTCCATTACTAAGGCTAGGTCAAGATTAAGTATTCTTTTCTCAGTCCACAAAATCTCTTCAATAAGTGGATCTAGCTGGTCATTGTACATTGGCCCTTGCTGGTCATAATCATCTTGATCACCATGAGGTTCATAATAGTCCCCACAGTTGTCTTGGTATGGAGAATATCCAAAGCTCCGAGACGGGGTATTGTATGGTGATTCCTCATGGTATGGATAATAATCAGGTTCATTATTGACGGAGTAGTCATCATAATAGGAATCCTGATGTGGATAATATGGTGGTGGTGGTGGTGGATAATAATTGGACTGTTGGGAAAATGATGGTGGATGGTTGGGTGGTTGGTAGAAAGGAGGTGGATCGTAGTAATCATCTCGAAAATTCATTTTTAATAATGATTACTACGGGTGGCTTGTGAAAAAGAGGGGAGAAGATCGACCTAACCGGTCTTCACCTAAGCTAATTAAAAAAAATTAAACTAAAACCGTGCCACTCCCCGGCAACGGCGCCATTTGATGATTTAGTTTTTCGGTAAGTCAACCTTCCCAATGAAGGGTTAGTTTTCTCCGAGTGTCGTGTCTCTCGAGGAGTGGACGAAGGGAATTAGCTATTTTTTCTAACTAGACGAAGGTTAGGACGGGTCTGAAAGTCTTCTCGATTTGATTTGAAAGTAAACTAAAGTACTAGGTTCTTTTTGAGAAAAAGAAAATAAATAGTACGGGTATAGGACTAGTCTTCGGGCCAAGGCATCATCTGAGTTAACTACTGTTGTCACATATTTAATCAATAATTGGAATAATAATATTTTTGTCACGAATATTTCATTAACTTATCCTCTCTCAAGGAAACATTAATGTGTTCTAAAAAGTTTGGCTTAATTAATTTTATATCCTCATAGACAAGGCAAAAACTAATTTCCAATAATTAATTAATTTTTCTCTCGACATAATTAATTAATTTAACAATAAAAGTAATTCTAGAACAATTATTCCAACTATTAACTAAACATACAGAGTATATTCCCAAATTTAGCCAGGACCCTAATCTGGGCCCTAACCCATACTAGATATTAACAGTGCATAAAACAAAAGAACATTTTATTAAAATTGCAAGTATTAAAACTTACAACAGAAAGCAGAGTCAGAGCCACTTTGGGACAACCGGAACAAAAGTAAACTAAAATATTAAAATATAACTGAGAAAAGAGCGGAGAATGGAGTTCCAGGCTTCAATCAGTTGATTTCAGAAAACTGGGATAAATCCTATAAAGGAGGGGGGATGAAGGAACTAGCTGAAAGGCTACTGTCCACTAAGAAGATCTTGAAGAAGGGGAATGTGGTCACTTTTGGTGACATATTCAAAGGTGTTAGAGAATTGAAGCAGAAGCTAGAGCAATACTTGCTCAGGAAAAACTGGAAATTGATGACAGTGAAGAGCTCTCCTGGAGGCCAATTTGGCCAATGCTCTCCTCACTCAAGCTTGCAAAAGAGAAGAGATTTTCTGGTCTCAAAAGGCCAACATCAAATGGATCAAGAATGGTGATGCTTCTACCAAATACTTTCATTCAATGGTTAGGGCCAGGAGGCACTCCCTTAAAATCAACAATATCAAAAACGTGCAAGGAGTAAACCTGTCTTCTGAGATTGACATCTCAAATGCAGCAGTTGATTATTTCAGTGATATCTTCCAGTTTAAAACAGTTGAACACTTAGAAAAGGCACTTGAACACATCCCTCCCACTTTAGATAGTAATGATAACCTGTCTCTGTCCAAAATCCCTGATGAGGAAGAGATCAAATCTTCCATTTGGAAGTTGTCTACTTCCAGTGCTGCTGGTCCAGGAACTTTTTTCAGGCATTGCTGGAGCACCATACACCTTCATGTTACCAAAGCTATCCAAGAGTATTTCATTGGAGTCCCTCTACCTCAAACTTTTGGCAGTACCACCATCACACTCCCTCTAAGAAGGACCGCTGCACTAACTTTAGTGACTATAGGCCCATTTCTCTTTCAACCTTCTTTAGCAAGATCATCACCAGGATCATGAGTGACAGACTCAAACCATTACTCCATAAAATCATTTCTGAGGAACAAGCAGCCTATCAAACAGGGAAGGGTATTGAGGAACACATTCTACTCACTAAGGAAATGGTTCACATGTTAGCTTCTGGTCACAGAGGGGGTAACATCATTATAAAACTGGATCTCTGCAAAGCCTTTGATACAATTAGTTGGACTTTTCTGGAAGCAATCCTCTCTAAATTTGGTTTCTCTCAGCATACCATTCTATTGATGATGGGGGTCCTCAAAGGAACCTGGTTCTCCATTCTTGTAAATGGACTTCCCAAGGGTTTTTTTTCCAATGAAACGTGGGGTGAAGCAAGGAGATCCCCTCTCTCCTTTGCTTTTCATTATTGCTATGGAGGGTCTCAGCAAAAGCATTAAATCTCATATTACTTTGGGTTTCCTCAAGCCCTTCCACACAGGTCTGGTTGTTGCTCCTTCTCATCTTTTGTATGCAGATGACTTGATTATTTTCACTAATGGAGAGACTATAAATCTTATCAAGGTTAAACACATCCTCTCATCTTTTATGAAAGCCTCTGGTCAGAGTATTAATCTCTCCAAATCTCAAGTCATTGTACATCATAAAATGCCTACTGACAGAAGATCTTGCATCTTTAAGATTCTTGGTATTAAAACCTCCTCTGGCAGTTTTAAATACTTAGGATCTTGCATAAGCAAAGGGAAGCTCAGAAAAAAAGGACTGCACTGACTTGATGCTTCATTTTGAAAGGAAAATTTTTCCTTGGCATAGAAAAAAACTAAACCAAATGGGCAGATATGTGGTTATAAAACATGTCCTCTCAGCTATTCCTATGCATACACTTCTAGTTCAGGATCTTCCCAAATCTGTCATCAATAGTCTAAATAAAATTATGGCAAACTTCCTATGGGGGAGCAAGGAGGCAAAAAACAAACTGAAGAATGAATATTTTCGATGATTAAACGTGTAGGAGTACAACCGTATATATAGACAGGACGGGACTCCTAATACAAGTAGGAAACCTATACAAAAGGTAACTACCAATAATACAATGATATAATAATAAATACATTAAATATACTTAACATAAATATATATGGTAAATATATTTAACATACTCCCGGTTACATTGGCTGCGGTGGAGGACGAATCCCTAGGCTTGTGCGAAAATCCAGGAAGAGAACTGAAGGGAGTCCTTTAGTTAATATATCAGCATACTGAGAGGAGGATGGAACGTGAAGAACTCGGATATGCCCCAGTGCGACCTTATCTCGAACAAAGTGAATATCTACCTCAACGTGCTTGGTGCGCTGGTGCTGTACTGGATTGGTGGAGAGGTAGACGGCACTGACATTATCGCAAAAGACAAGAGTGGCACGCTGCAAGGGATGTCGTAGCTCAAGAAGTAGGTTCCGAATCCAAATGGCCCCAGCGACAGCGTTGGCGACAGCACGGTACTCAGCTTCGGCACTGGAACGGGAGGTGGTGGCTTGTCGCTTGGAGGACCAGGAGACGAGGTTATCACCGAGGATGACACAGTAACCGGATGTGGAGCGTCTGGTGTCTGGGCAGCTAGCCCAATCTGCATCTGAGTAGGCCTGTAGTATGTCCGTGCGAGAGGGGGTGAGTGAGATGCCCAAAGTGGCGGTGCCACGGAGATAACGGAGAACCCGCTTCATAGCTGTCATATGCGCCTCTCGTGGAGCATGGAGATGGAGGCAAAGCTGCTGTATTGCATAAGTGATATCTGGCCGTGTAAACGTGAGGTACTGCAGGGCTCCAACAATAGAGCGGTAAAGAGAGAGATCAGAGGCAGCTGGCCCATCAGTGGCTGATAGTTTTGACTTAGTATCAACCAGGGTGGAGATGGGACGGCAGGTGACCATCCCAGCACGCTCAAGAATGTCATGAGTGAACTGTGTCTGATGGAGAAAAAGTCCACGGGAGGTGCGATGTACATTGATGCCCAAAAAGAAGTGTAGATCCCCCACCCCCATATCAGTCATGGTGAACTCCCCCTTAAGGCGCTGAGTGAGATGCTGTAGAAGATTATCTGAAGATGTTGTGAGAACAATGTCGTCGACATAGAGGAGTAGATAAGCTGTGTTCAGTCCCTGAGTAAACACAAAGAGAGACGTGTCCGTTTTGCAGCTACGGAAACCAATGGTCTGAATGAAACCTGCAAATCGACAGTACCACGATCTGGGAGCCTGTTTGAGACCATATAAGGCCTTCTTGAGCTTGCATACATAGTGAGTCCTGGCCGGGTCCTGAAAACCTGAGGGCTGAGTAGCGTAGACCGTCTCCTGTAGGTACCCGTGAAGAAAAGCATTCTTGACGTCCAGTTGATGAATGGGCCATCCCTAAGAAAGAGCTATACTCAACACAATGCGAACCGTAGCCGGTTTTATGACCGGGCTGAACTTCTCATCATAATCCACACCGAATCTCTGGTTAAAACCGCAAACAACCCATCGGGCTTTGTACTTGGATAACTCACCTGTGGGGCCAAGTTTGTGTCGAAAAAGCCATTTTCCGGTTATGATATTTTGGTGGGGGGAGGGGGGTACTAGTTCCCATGTGTCATTCTTAATCAAAGCATTAAATTCATCTATCATAGCAGCATGCCAGTTTGGATCTTTAAGAACACTACGGTAAGTGGGGGGTAATAGGGAGATAGGTACAGTGGTATTAAGGTTTAAGCTTTGTTTTG